AAGTAACTTTACTTTAGTTCAGAATGACAATCTACAGAATGTAAAATTAACCAACTGCTCTGCCTGTTGGCATGTTTTATTGTTTTTTTGTTTTGTTTTTTACTAAAGGCCATTTTAAAAGGTTGCTTTTGTAGTATTCGAAGAAAATCTTAGCTGGTGATACATTCTAAGGAGATCTCATCACCTACAACTGGGGTGTGTATAAACTCTACAACTGTGGGTTTGGGTAGAGCTCCCCCTAACGTCCTAGTGAGAGGCAGGGAGCGAAGGATACACTCGGACAAAAAATTTAGAAACCAACAGCAAACAACCTCTTGCCACAGCCGGACACTCTCCACCCCGCTTGCACTTTCTACACTCTCTACCGCGATCACGAGTCTTTACATCATTTCAGGAAAATACAGCAAAGCAGATCAACACCTACCTGGGGGAAGTTCCCAGCAGACCAAATGGAGAAATCGGACCTGTTTCCCTCAGCATGTTCCCCAGAACACAACACCACTGCCTCAGGACCTCTGCAATACTGGATGAACGCCAGAGACCCTGACTCTCAGGCCGGAAGCCTGGAGAACCAAGGCCATTTCAGCCACTGACCTATTTCAGAACCTATCTTTTGAGTTTGGTCTTAGGCTTATTGCAGAGAAGGAATATGGAAGGTTGATTAAAAAATACATTTAAAATACCCCCAATTCCTCCGATCATGGATGACCTACAAACGCTGATGGCTAGTGTGTCCACTCTCCCTGTGACACCCCACCTGACTTCCCCAACGCAACCAACATTCCCATCAGCCCTCATTGCCATCCAGACAGAAGGCCTCTGGTAACGCCTGGTGAGCATGGGATGCTGGGGCTTGCACACCACTGGGCAGACGGCAGCCAGTCCGGCTGCAGACTAGACGCCAGACACCAGGAAGGACGGGTAGCCTGGCTCTGGGCCTTGCCCAGGAACAGCTGGCTAGTGCCAGCCCAAGGCCAACTCAGGAAAAGCAGGAAGGCAACCCGGGCAGGGAGAGGTGCTACCTCACGTGGCGCCTGTCACCTGCTGACCGTGGGTCCAGGTGCCCAGATAGGAGACTTGGGGCACCCATGTTGCATCTGTCCCAGCCAGCAAGAGAAAATGTCCAGCGTATACATCGGCTGTCACTCCCCACATCAGCCACAAATCCAAATTCCCTAGGACAAGGTAGGGGTGACACCCTCAAATGGTTGGCATTTAGGCCCACTTGTCCAGGAGAGGAGGGGGTGGTGGGCTCGCAGGCTGGGCGGAGGCCCCGGGACAGAGTGTGAACTCTGGAGTGCCCATGTTCCTCTCAGCAAAGCTTCGGGTTTCCATCTGAGACATCCAACCTGAGCTTCAGAGGACCCTCTGCCCTGGGGATGCTCAACAGCTGGGAACACACACAGGACACCCACGGCACCTGTTAACAGAACGCCACTCATGCCCAATCACACCTCTGGCTGCCGTTTGCAGATCAGTACAGCCAACGGGTTACTCAGCTTGCTCCAGATCACTCCTCAAATGGCCGAGCAAATGCAGTCCCGTCCTGCAACTCGGAAGCTCCTTCCACTGCCTGGTGCTCAAACATTTCCACAGAAGCACCCCAACAGATAAGAAAAGTGAACCCCTCCCTACCCTGGACAGATGAACACAGAGCACAAAACTCTGCTACATTTTTCTCAAAAATGCATGCAGACTTTTAACACTAAAAAAATGTAATGTGCTGGGACACCTGGGTGGCTCATTTGGTGAAGCGTCTGCCTTTGGCTCAGGTCACGATCTCAGGGTCCTGGGATGAGGTCCTGCATCGGGCTCCCTGCTCAGCGGGGAGCCTGCTTCTCCCTCTGCCCCTGCCGCTCCCCCTGCTTGTGCTCTCTGACAAAATCTTTTAAAAAATGTAATGTGCTAATATTATTATCAGCGCTTCCCATGAAAACTTGTACACTTGGGGCTTCTCCATCTCTTGGCCGCATTCAAACTTTTGGTGCGTCGTGAGCAGCTCAGTGGCACCTACACGAGCAGACTCCGTTAGCTTAAATCCTTCAAATGGATGGCTCTCAGAAGAAGATGCTCAACTTTGCTAATTAAAGACATACTAGAGTATGGTGACACCATGTGTTCATCAGATTAGGAAAAAATTAAAAACAGGCAGTTGCTGAGGTCGTGGTAAAACTGATCATGTTGCTAGGACTTTTTGGACAGCAACTTGGCACCTTTTTTTTTTTTAAGATTTATTTATTTATTTATTTGAGAGAAAGAACAAGCGGGGAATGGCAGAGGGAGAGGGAGAAGCAGGCTCCCCCCTGAGCAGGGAGCCCGATGCGGGACTCGATCCCCGGACCCTGGGATCATGACCTGAGCCGAAGGCAGATGCTTCACCGACTGCGCCACCCAGACGCCCCAACTTAGCACCTGCTATCAAAGCATAAACATACATCCTCTTCAGCACAGTGACACTAACACCAGGAAACCTCTAACAGACTGCCCACAGCCTGGTGCAAAGACCAAGACCCGGCCAGTATCTGGCCAGACCATGCCACTGTGGGAGGACACGCATGGTGGGCAGGAGGTACCCCAGGACCTTGGTACCTGTGGATGACAGAGCCGCCACACGGACACTGAGCAGTGAGTCAGTGCTGTGGAGCAGGACAAGGAGCCGGGCACTTCTACCTTCCCAAGCTTTCACATCCCTTGGGGCCCGGGACCGCCTACTAACACAGCACTGGAGGGAAGATAGAGAGCTCTGAGTGCAGCCATCCCCCCGGGTCCACATTTCAGTGCCCACGGTCCCCGTGGTCTAGCAGCTGACGACCCCCCTCCTGACACAGCCTCAGGTCAACAGTGGACTAACACTCCACCACAGGCCTTCATCTCGCTAGGAAGGCATTTGATCATCTCACACCATCACAAGAAGCGGGGAGTGCAGGACGGTAAGGAATTCTGAGGGAGAGACACCACACTTGTGTAACTTTTATTGCAGTATATTGTTAGGGGAAAACCTCGGAGATCCTAGGGTCGGTTCCAGACCACAATAAAGTGAACATCTCCGTAAAGGGAGTCAAGTGATCTTTCTGGTTTTCAGTGCACATAGAAGCTGTTTATGCTATCCTGTAGTCTATTAAAGTGTGCAACATCACATCTCAAAACCGATGCATGGATCTTAAGATACTTTATTGATACAACATGCTTTCATCGAGCTGTGAGCTCTGAGTCGTAATCCCTGATGACAGATCACCATGACAAATAATCAGAAAGTCTGAGATATTTCAAGAATTACCAAAACGTGACACAGACACACAAAGGCTGTTGGAAAAATGGCACCACAGATGTGTTCAATGCAGAGTTGCCATAAACCTTCCATTGGTAAAACACACAGATCTGTGAAGCACAATAAAGCAAGTAGTATGTGGTATGCCTGGATAATTGCAATTGCCCTTTTACTAGCTGTAGTTCATCTTACTGTGCCCAAGTCATAAAATTAAGTTCTACCACAGGTCTGTACAGGGAAAAACCGCACATACCTACAGTCCAGTGCAATCCACAGCCTCGGGCACCCACGGGGGTCTTGGAACGTACCCCTGAGCTAAGAGCGGACCACTGTACTGTGCCTAAACGTTCTAATCAAATCCGAAGACAGAAGCATGAGCACTCATAAGCTGACCATTCTCTTCCTGATAAGATGTGCGTTTCTATCCTTTAGTTTGGATGACCAAGAACAGCACCATCCAACAAAAGTATAATGCCAGCCAGGCACCTGGGTGGCTCAGTCAGTTCAGCATCTGCCTGCAGCTCAGGTCATGATCCCAGAGTCCGGGGATCAAGTCCGCGTACAAGGCTCCCTGCTCAGGGGGGAATCTGCTTCTCCTTCTCGCTTGGCTCTCCCTCCCCTTGTGTGCGCACGTGCGCGTGCACACACACACACACACACGCTTGCTCTCTCTCAAAAACAAAAAAGCCCCGAAACCGTTAAAAAAAAAAAGCCAGCCACCTACCTGTTTCTAAAGTTTCTAGTAGCCAGAGTTAAAACACAAACAGGTAAGATTAACTTTATTGCTTTATTTAAGCCATCATTTCCAAAATATTAGCATTTCAACATGTAAATAAATAACTTTAACAATGACATACTTTATTGGTATTGTCTTCAAAGCTCAGTGTTTTTGATTCTCAATTTGAGTATTAAATTTCCATGAGAAAGGGTTGACCTTTATTTAAAATTTACAGTTGGAACGAGACTCACATACCATACTGAAGAGTTTTCTAAAAAGTGCATCAAGTTAACTGCCTTTAAGTTAAATACAACTAAAAATTCAACCCCAGCTGGGCCAACTGCATTTCCCGTGTTCCATAAACTGTGGCTAGTGACTACATACTGGACAGCAGGGGTGCAGATAAGTGATTTGTCCAAGTGGGGTCCCCAGACCCACAGCATCAGCATCTGCTGGGAACTTGCTAGAAGTGCAAATTCTCAAGGCCCACCCAGACCCACAGAATCAGAAAACTCTGGGAGGGGGGCCCAGCGCCCTTCAGAGGAGCCCTCCACACAATTATGAGCACTGGGAAGTGTGAGAACCACTGGTCCAGAAAACAAACACCACCAACTAAGACAGCCCACAGAAATAGTTTTGATCACCTATTTGTGGAATGGAAACTGAATAGAAGCCCCTCCCCGCGTTGTGTTTTGAGGCTCTGACACCAGGAATAATCGCCTGGATTTTATTAATCCAGGAGCAAGGAGAGGTCTGAATGTATAGGTGGATGACCAGTGGGTTAAGATCAGGACCCAACTCAAATGACATTCTGCTTCATGTTTCCCAATGCCCAGGGTCACAGGACATGGGGCGCTCTCACGGACCGAGGCCGTCAGGGTAAGCCCAGCACTTGAATCTGTATGGCCACAGGGCTGTTCTCTCAGTAGAACAGGGACTGTGTGTGTGCAGGGGTCACCTCTGAACAAGGGCCCTTAGCAAGGTAGACCCACAGCCTCCCCCCTTTCCTGGGCTCAGGTGCCTGTCAGAAGCCACAAGATGAAGACCGAGTGCAATCAGCTGTGTGCTTGTGTAAGTGACCGAGGCTTCCAGAACCCTGGGTTCTTGACGGACTCAGGCCAGGGCAGAGCTGCCCTCTGAAGGATCTGAGTGTGCCAGATCAATCTTCACGTCACTTTATTTGGGGGGCAGGAGGGAGGAAGCAGAGGTTGATGGAGTAGCTTAGCCTAACTTAGAGTATCAATATCCCTCTGTTTATTTTGCCAAAATTTGTACATTTTACTGGAAAAGTTTTATTGGCATTTCAGACTGTTTGCCATGAGAAGTACAAAGGCAACAGAGCACAAGTGCTGCCTACCAAGCTAAAATGATACACAAAACAAGCTAATGTGTGCCAGTATGGGCAGATACAGCCACATCATCTCTTTACTTTCCCCCTGAAAGAGAACAAAAGAATAGTTTATTTTTTTAGGTCTGTCTTGATTAACCAGGAGCAATTGATCATATAAAAGCTCTAGGCCAAATAAGGTTATTTCAGAAACCACCTATAAAAATGTTACTGCGAGATACACCCCGTGCTGGAATGAACTGCGTTGGTAATTTGGGGCTTGAGAAAGCTCACATCCAGACCTTCTATCACCCTTCCTTACAACTAAGCCAATGGAGGAGCAAATAATTTCAACCGGTCAGTTATCAACTGCACTGCAACGACTTTTCAATGCTCATCACTCAGACAAGAACCACCTGGTACAAAGCACCTGTATTTGTGCACACCCTCTGGACCCATACCTGAGTCGCTGAGCCAGCCAACTGGCGGAGAGTGTGTTTAAGGCTCCCGACGGCTTGTGTTCAGAGGCTCTGGCAGCTGCACACCTACACAGAAAGGTCAGACCAACAGTCATCGATCCCTTCATCGGCTCACCTGGAGAGCTGTGTGCGCAGCAAAACCTCTGCCTGGTTCAGGCCCAGACAACACGAGAAACTACCAGTAACTAAAAGGTAAATTTACGCTTCCACTTCCATTCAACAGCCAGTTTAGGCAAACGTTTTCACTGACTTGAGAAAGGTGCTCTCGGTTATACCACTTGTGAACGGGCTGAACTGTGTCCCCACAAAATTATAGACTGAAGTCTTAAACACTCAGGACCTCAGAATGTGACATTTGGAAGTAAGGTTGTCACAGATGTAATTAGCTAAAATGCGCTCAGATTGGAGAAGGACAGGACCCTAAATCCAGTAGGACCGTGTCCTCATAAAAAGGGGACATTTGGACACAGACACACAAGGAAAACGCAGGTGATGAAGGACACAGAGGATGGGGGGGGAGAGACGCCCACAGCCAAGGAACGCCCAGAGCCTCTGGGAGGAGCCAGCCCCGCCACACCCCCATCTTGGACTTGTGCTTCCAGAGCAGGGAGACTGAACTCCTGCTGTTGGAGCCACCCAGGCCTCGGTACTTTGTTTTGGCAGCCACTGGAAACAATACAACTAGAATCCAACTTTAATTTAGAATCCAATTTTAATTTAGATTACATTCAGCCAAACTCCTACAAAAAATATTTCACCTCAACAACTTAATTCGGTACAACGCTCAAAGTTGCCCTATCCCCACCACGGGGGTCAGGCGCGCCCACTGATGTCACCGTACATGAGCCGGCACGCCAGAGCCAGCCTCTCTTCTCACCTGGCTGTGCCGATGGGGCGGCCCCCGTGCTTGCAGCTGTGATCCAGAGGGTGTCTATGCTGAATGCAGAAACTGCCATGGCACTGGTCACAAGCCACCTGCAGCATCTCTTTCTTCTTGCACCCCTCTTTTGAGCACCGGTACATAAAAATCTGAGAAAGCAAGAGTTGCTTCACTAAGCAATTATTTAACAAGCCCCTAATAAGACTACCAGCATTTAAACTAGAAATGGTTCTTAGCTACAAGGAATGAAGATTCCAAGATTTCATTCAAACATCTGCCAGGTAAACAGGTGAGTACTGAGGAGACTGGAAAGTTTTAACAAATAAACACAAAAGCAGCACCTTAAGCTGGGGATTCATGTAAGACAACTGGAGGCATTCTCAGCCAAAAATACCTCCACAGAACCCAGGGGAGTGGGGACCAGGGACATGGAAAGAAGGATGCCAAGCCTGTGACATCGTGTCCAGTCCCACAGAAGACAGCTGGCTCCAGGGGCTCTGGGGACATTCCAGGGAGCTGAAGTATGTACAGTCCCTATACCCGTTCTGTTACTGGGGTTTGGGGGTGTTTTTATTTGCCAGGGCAACAGGGGTGGGGTGAGGGAGTGATATAAATTCCCAGGTACTGCCGACTCTGTGAAGTAAGGATGTTGGTCAAAAGGTACCCACCTAGAAGCCCGAGGGCAGTACTCCGGCAAAGACGGGCAGGCAGAGTGCCTTGAGCGACCACAGCATGTGCTCACAGCGCAGGGATGCAGGGTGCCTGCCCCAGGAGAGCAAAGGAGGGTATGCCCGCCCTGGGGTATGGGGGTGGGGAGAGGGGACGGGCTTGGGTCATGAATCCTGGGTGAGTCAAGAACGAAGAAGACCTTGTCAATTCAGGAGGAAAGCATGCCAAGTGCAGCTGTGATCTTATATAGAGGCAGGGAGGTTTTAGAAGAACTTCCAGAAGGACTGGAGGGCAAGGCCTAACAGTGCACAGCAAGAGCGGGGTGAAGAGAATGGGGTTATGGAGGGGGACTGGGGTTGGCTGGTTAATAAAGGGTTTTGGGTGCTAGGCTAAGGCATACAGAGCTTATTTTCTCATGTTGGAGGCTGAAAGCAGCAAGCGGGAGTTAACAAGACTTATGGTCATTTACTGCAACTGTTGTGTGTTTAATGTAAAACGACCAGGTAGTTCGTAACTATAAACCAGGATCCATGACTGGAAACTGGGATTTGGGCCTGACAAAAGCCAATTTCCTGGAGACAAGCTCCTTCAAAGCCCACGCACTTATTTTGGAGAGCAACAAGAGAGGGAAAAAAGGAGCAGGGCATCTCGGAAAAATAACCTGAGTAACCTGGTAGGGCCTTCGGGAAGGGCAAGCCACAGAGCTGGTCGAGACCAAACCCCAGGAAGACCTGAGTGGTGTTGAGAATCTGCGGTCCAAGGGGAGAGGGGCACACGTTATGTGCCATCCACTGAGGACAAGTTCAGTTTGAGTCTCCTTGGACTTCTGGTTAAGGAAGGAGAACTGAACACATACTTGCTCTGACTCCTGAAATACAATGAAAATGACAGAAGAAGATTCTCTAAAAAGCCCACAAGGGCCAAGAATAAGGGGGGGAAAAAAACAAACCAAACAGCTGCAAGATTTTAGGGGGGAAAAAAAGCACAAAACAAGTAATACTGAACCTGGCAGATACAAGAAAGCCAAATTGTAAGCTGGTGGGGAATGTCAAGAAGCATGACTATTCATGAAACAAAACCCCCAAAGGCTCACAAATCAGCCGTAGCAGCAGCTCAGGGTGCCGTGGGACTACAACAGGAGAAGTGGTGCGAGTCTGAGAAACAGATCAGCAGAGCTGGCACCTGACCCCAGCAGAAGACGCACGCTTGGCAGAGGGTCTGAGAGAGGCTGCTGGCCTGGGAGGTGTAGCAATGGGCAGGACGAACACAAGAAACATGGGAGGGGCCCTCAGAAGGCAGTAAGGATCTCACACTCCCTTCAGAGGAGATGCAAGAGCTCTCTCCACCTGGCTCCACAATCCTGGAAGCCAGAGCATGCTCTCCAGGCAGGGAGCAGAACATCTTCTCAGGGGAATCTGATTAGCCCAAGAGAAAGACCTGAAATCACAGCACAGAAGGTGGACTGGGCAGATGACCTGCAGCAAAGGCAAGAGTCCACACTGCCCCCACCGTGCTGCAGACTGGCACATGAAGACGACGTTCACCGTGACGCAGAAAAAACATCCTGGACACAGAATTCACAGGGAAAGAAAACTTAAGGACAAAAAAAAGGAGACCTATCCAGGAGGTCCAACATCCAAGAGACGGGAGTCTAGAGGAAATTGAAGAATCCAAGATGGCATTCCAGATGGAAACACTGGAGTTTCCAGTTTAGAAGGGTCCACTGCCTACCTAGCACAACAGATGAAGACAGATCCACACCAGGAACAGTGTGAAGCTTCCAAACTCTGGGAAGGGGCTGGGGTGGGGAGAGAGCTTCCAACCGGCCAGACAGAAAACTGGTCCCACAAAGGACCATGTAGAACAGCTGGGAAATTCTCTAAAGCCACAGCAGAAACGAGAAAATGAACCAGCGCCTGCAAATATTCAAATAAAGATCTGAAAGCCAGGCTGCTATCCCCAGGCAGCTAATCAAGGAGAAACAAGAGAACGAAGACCCAGGAGATACATGACCTCCCATTTATCTTCCATGGTCTTTTCTAGGGAGCAAGTGGGACATAGGCCTCCCCACAAATAAGGGAAAACTAAGAAAGAAAAACACAAGACACGCGAGACTAGGGACCCCTGGTAAGGGAGATAGATGCAGGAAACTAGGATCTAGCACAAGAAAAATGCAGAGGGACTCTCTCAGCTGTGGAGACCTGGAACACCGGCCCAAGAGCACACGCCACCTCTGCTGGGAGGGCGGGAGTGGCAAGAGACGTGGCCATGTAGGAACGGGGGGGGGGATCCCCATGCTCAGCCCACACTGTGGTAAACAGGTAATGCCCAAAACTACAGGGGAACAAGACAAACTCAAGAGACAACAATACACACACTTGGAGAAAAAGGAAGTACCCCAAACAAACAAGACTAAGAGTTGAAAGCACCTGCTGTGGAGAACAGGGGCCTACTGTTTTTCCTAACATGATTTACTCCAAATGAACAAACGTAGAGCTTTCACAAAGATACTAATGCTATAAAAGTAAGGACACTGAATGTTCAAATTCTATCTATGCTTTTAGATTTTCCTAGGAGGAGCTTAGGAAAAGTGCACATGAACAGCATGGTTCTGGGGTGCCTGGGTGGCTCAGTTGATTAAGCGACTGCCTTCGGCTCAGATCATGATCCCAGGGTCCTGGGATCGAGTCCCACATCGGGCTCCCTGCTCCTTGGGGAACCTGCTTCTCCCTCTCCCTGCCGCTCCCCCTGCTTGTGCTCTCTCTCTCTTAAATAAAATCTTCAAAAAAAACACAAAAAAAAACCCAGAACGGTTCTAGAAACCACATTAACTCTCCATCTGGAGAGAAAAAGGTAAGAATCCTGTAAGGGAAGCAAATCCTAATGCAGACTCTAATATTCAGAGTATGTTCGTGTAACTATAAGAACCCAAGCCATCACAACATGGGAAAACACTGACACGTCACTAAGGTTTTATTATTGTTCACAGCTGATTAAGACTACAGATACTTAGATAACCGGCCTTTTCCCCCCTACAGAAAAACCAAACATTCACAGAGTAAACATAATTTGTCCTTACCTTCTCTTTCTTCCAAGGATGGTAGTTACAGTCTCGATCAATGTGCTCACCAACCACCACATCTGGTATCTCTCCCTTTTTTACTGGGACAGGGTTGTTACAAAGTGGGCACACTGGGACCTGAACATCCTAAAAATAATGATAGATGATAATCCAGATTCAATCAAAACTCACCAAAGAAAAAGGTACGACAGCACATTGCATTGAAAACCACACAGGGTACACACACTGATCTTCCGACCGCTCATTAGAAGGGGACACTGTTAACACAAAGAATTAACAGTAAGGCAACCCTACAGATTCAGGGTAGGTGGAATCCAGGGGAATTTAAACATGACAGACTATTAACCAACCGTAGACGTGACCCTGAGACAATCAGTAAAAGGCAGCCAAGGAAAGAAGCCGAGGAAATTGATCTGGTCTCAGGGCAGCAGGGCTGTCTGTCCAGCACCATGTCGGTGAGTGGTGAAGCAGCCCGAATCCCTCAGAACGGAGGGAAAGAAGAAAACACGAGCCATAAAGACCCTCCAGTTCCCTTCAATTGCCAACAGCCTATCTGGTTCTTTTGTGGCTTTCACACGCAGGGAGATTCACTCTCCTGATAGAGCACACGGCTAGGCTGAGCTCTCAGGTACCTAATGACCCAAGCCCAAGACTGTGGGGGCTCTGGAGGGAAGAACAAAGCACCCAGCAGGTGCATGCCCAGCAGTTAAAAAACCTCAGAGCCAAGGCAGGAGCTAAGGAAACTTAGCTCAGCAAAAAAACAGGTGACAACTGACATCCAAACAGGTAATCAAAGAATTATGGGGCCTACTGTCTGGAGGGGCTGAGCTGAAAGGTCACCCAGAAGCCCTCCCTCAGTTGACAAGTCTGCCATATTGAGAAATAAAGCATTACTAATGATCTCTAGCCAGACCCTCCCTATCTAGGGGCATGGGAGGTCAAGCCAACAAATAAACTGGGTAGTGTGGCCTAGTCATCAGGGCCTGGTAAATGAGTCACCCTGACCCGCCCTCCATGATGACCTAGAAAACGCTGGAGGGTCAGACCCTGGCCAACACTAAAGAAAGCATGTAATGATGCTAGGTCATTCACGTTTCTAAGTGCCACCCTAGGGAAGCAGCAGTACAGACACAGAGAAGTCACTAAGATAACCTCTGAACTACCGGAGACACAACGAATAAGGGCCACCAGCAAAGTCAGTAACAGAGGGAGCGCACCTTTGGACTCGCACATGTTGGTTTTCTTAGAGTCCTCTTCAGCTTCCCATTTTTACCAGGTACTATTGCCACTAAATAGGATCCCAAGACTGCAAAGTTACCCAGATAAGCCTTTTTAATACCTCCCAGATTAGATACCTTGTCAACAATTAAACTATTTCTTGCGCTTCACAAAGATACTATGTTTTTTCTCGACATAACGAATCAAAGGAACAGAATATTTTAACGTGCAAAATAAGCTGTGAAGGTTTGGATACAACAATTTGACTTCAAGAGCCCCTAAAAATGAAACCAGTTGCTTTAGAGCTGTGCCATCCAGAACTCCCTGATGGTGGAAACGTGCCACCTCCGCACTGTCCAATACAGTACTTATTGGCCACATGTGGCTGCTGAACACCTGAAATGTGGCTGGTGCGACTGAGAAACTGGATTTCAAGTCTCGTTTCATTTTAATGCAATTACTAGCTATATGTGGCTAATGTCTACTATTTGGACAGCACAGCTTTAGACAGTGAAAAATAGACTCTTTGGAATGAAGTATGATAAATTACCTTCTTGAATGCAAAGGGACATTTATGTGCAGCACAAGTAAAATGGTCTTTACAGAAATCTTGTTTACATGCATCACATTTTAAAGGAAGAAAATCTAAAACAAAAAAACAATAGCATTTTAAAGATCAGGACAAAAGAATTACAGAGCACATTAAACAGGTATTTACCTACACTGAGTTCTTTACGCCTGTCAAATGTATCCTTGAGGTACCACATGTGAGAAAAAAATTGGCGATCATGAATTTCACAATGCCAGCAATACTGAAGAACCTATAAAGCTATGTTTTCTTTTCAAGATTTTCTTTCTTTCTTTTCGAGAGAGGCCACGGGGGGTAGGGGGAGGGCACAGAGAGAAACTTAAGCAGACTTCCTGCTTAGCTCAGGAGCCCAACGAAGGGCTCCATCTCACAACCCCGAGCCAAAAACCAAGAGTCAGACGCTTAACCGACTGAGCCACCTAGGCACCCCTATAAAGCTCTTTTCAAAAGACACCCATCCCATGTAGTATCACAAATATTTAAGCAGCACACTTGTATCCACTTGGCCTTGGCCCTGGTACCTGGCCTTCAGTAGATGCTGAATAACAGGGCTGAACAGAACCTGCACCTCAGGCCAGCCTCCCAACACTGAAAAGCCAGCAGAGCCAAGACCCAGAGAACAGCTAATTAATAAAACGGCTAGTTCTCCCCGACTAAACAGCTAACAAAACACATATTTTCTAACATTCTCTTAAAAGCACTTACCTAGCTGTTTGCAAGTTTTTTCTGAACAATGCTTCCCCAAATCAGGGAACTCCATTATGAGGAAGTGTCCAAAACACAGATGGCAGATAGATCACCTACAAGAATTAAAATAGTTAGGAAAAGTACGATGGCCAGAATTTCAGTCCCAAGAGTTCATAACTTACGGCTAAGAAAATAAACATGTTCTGTGGGAAGCATTCAATGCCCAAGTCATCCTGGGCCCCTGCAGAGCACTAAAGCATCACAAATTCTTGCTGCCTTTTCAGCAAAAAGGAGCTTGAGTACAAGTACCAGCTCCTTCAGGATCCATTATGACCCCGACTGTTTCTTGGTCCTTCAATTTCTTACTTGAAAAAGCTCACCCAGAATTCAGGTTTGATTAAAACCATTCTGACTCACGTTGACAGGGTTTTCCCATATTCAACTTACACAAATGTCCGCAAAAAACTGGGCCGTAATTTCACGGAATGAGTATACTCGTTGACATACACAACACCGTTACCAGACACTGAATCACGTTAGTTGACGACACTATCCCGAAGAACTTCAACTCTGTCCCTCCCGTTCTCAACTCCCTCACGCATTGAGTTTTACTTACAACTTGCTCCCTAAAAACAATCAACCTGGAGTTGAGGAGGGAGAAGAGCAAGTGCTTAACTCATGGTGGAAACCAGGCGGACATGGGCTGAAGCTACTCTAGAGGGAACTTGAGTCCGTAACAGGCCTCACGAGATCCCTTCCAGGACCTAGCACCCACAACCCTCTCAAGAAGTCCCTCCCCAGAAGTCAGGTCCTGAGGGTCCACTCCGAGGAGGGTCTGCCATGCTGTCCCCAGCTCCCCTCCGCTCCTCCCCTCGGGTCATGGTTCAGAGTCACTTCCTCCAAAGGGGCCTTCGTCCCGACCGTCACAGCTTCCCTACACCCTCAAAGGATGCTGTAATTGCCGCCCCCGCACCCACTCACTATGACCCCAACTGCAGACGGGCTCTCCACTGCCCGCGCCCCGGAGCGCAGTACCGCGCGGCAGGTGCGCCCGTGGCTGTCTCATCGGGCCCAGCCCTTGACACAGCAGCGGTGAGAGCCCACGGTCGGGGGCTCGTTCGGCTAGCACCTGAAGCCCTCCCCGGCGTGCGAATCGGGCCCCCGCGCGTCCCCCATCCCCGGACCTGGCTACCGTCGGGCGCCCGGGTGGCTGCGGAGGCGAGCGGGAGGCGGCGGACACGGAAGGCTGGATGTCCCTTCCAGCGGTCACCCACGAGGTACAAGACCAAAAGGCCGGGGAAAATGGGATCCGAAGGGCGGCCCCGCGCGGTCGAAGCCCGCGGGAGAACGAAGCATCGCGTACCTCCACTTCCTCGGCCATTTATCCCCGGCCTCGGGTTCCAAAGAGCCGCCGCGACTCGTATCCGCCCGGCACGCCCCGATGACGTCACCGCCCAGCCGGCCAATCTCGCCCCGCTGAGGCTTGGCGTTCCCGGCGCTCCCGGAGACGTCAGCGCCCAGCCGGCCAATCTCGCCCCGCTGAGGCTTGGCGTTCCCGGCGCTCCCGGAGACGTCAGCGCCCGGCCGGCCAATCCCGCCCCCGCCGCGGCCCCGTCGGCCCGCCCACTCCTCGCTCCTCCGCCTCCCTTCTCGAACAGTCCGGCCCCTTCTCGGAGCCGCTGAGTCACGGTGAGGCGGCGCCTGCGCGGCGCGGGAAAGCTGAGTCACGGCGGCGAGGCCGCGGCCGTTTCGCGGCCGTGCGGAGGGGCGGCCTCACCGGGAGCCGCGCACTGAGAGGGTCCGAGCCCGCGCCGCAGAGGTGCCACCGCGAGGTACGGAGCCGGCACGGCCGGGCGGCGTGGGCGCGCGGGGCTCCCCGAGTGGGAGAGGGGGCCTGACCGTGGGGAGAGGACGCCCTCCGCCTCGACGGAGAGCTTGCCTGTCCTCGCCTCGTGGGCTCCCCGGGTGTTGCCGCGACCTTCACGGTTCCCCTCCCCGCGGTCCTCTCACCGCGTCCGCTCCCTGCCTCTCCTCACCGGGCCCCCTCGCCTGTCCTGTCGCACTCTCCTGCCCCCCACAAATGTGTACGCGGTTGGTTTTCCGTCTCGGAGCGTGTTACTTTGTGAAGTCCCCGCAAACGGAACGAGCAGATGCTCTGCGGGCACCTGGTCAAGTTCCCCGGGAGCCTCAGGTCACCTCCAGCCATCACCCCTAACCTTGTTTTACGTGTGTTTCCGTTTAAAGACAACTTGCATTGATCCGTTGTTGATTGGTTCACGTTGAACTCAGGGCCCGCCGTGCTGTAAGTCACGCCTGAACCCAGCCTGTCTGCTGCTGTTCTCTGGAGGGTGCATCGCAGCCTCCTGGTGCTTAGGAAACTGGACAGCACCTAAACACCAGCCTGGAGGCCACTTGAAACCGAAAGATTGCCACCAAAAAGCTTAAAAATGTGAAGACCATAACACCAAATAGGCCGTGGAACGGAAGCTTATTTACCGTATCAGAACTGAAACGAGAAAGAAGGAAGGTGTCGTCTTGTCCCACCTTGACTGGAAGTGTGTTTCTCAGGCAACTCGAGTTTTTGCTACTCAGTACGTGTTGGCGAATAACTGAAGTACCACAAGTATCGATTTTGGGGTGACAGATGAATTCAGCAGATAGGCAAATTCACAAATGTGGAAACCACGAATAACAAGAATTGTGTGTGTGTGTGTGTATTTGTACGTGTACATACCCATTTTCCTTAGTCTTTTTCTGAACTGTTTGAGAATGTGCTATAGACACGATACCCCATTACCCCAAATATTTGCGTGTATATTTCCCAAAAGCGGACACTCCTAGGTAGCCATTCTGTAACCATCCACATGAGGAAATCAGTGTCAGAACAGTATTAAGGTCCAATCCACAGACTCCATTGGATTTCGCCAACTATGTCAATGTCTCTTCTTCTTTTCTGCTCTAGGGTCCCATCTACAATCATAGGTGCAGTCTTCTTCATGCTGGGAGAGGTCTTCCATCCTTCTTGTCCCTAATAGTTTTTATTACTAAAGACCACAGACTTATGAGATGTCTCGGGGTCCATGGATGTTTCCTGAGGACCAGATGCAGGTCATGTTTCTTGGTAGGAATACCACAGGAATGGTGCTGTGCTGCAACCCATCCTATCATGGGTGATACTCATCTTGATTACCTAGTCGTGTAGATGTCTGCTAGGTTTCTCCTTTTTTTCGTTTGTAAATTGATTAGTATTTGGTAGGGAGATATTCCAAAATTCCACCATTATTTTATTCTTTTTTTTTTTTAAGACTTTTATTATTTATTCATTTGAGACAGACACAGAGAGAGAGCAGGAGCAGTGGGGAGAGGCAAAGGGAGGGAGAAGCAGGCTTCCCACTGAGCAGGGAGCCAGAAGTGGGGCTCGATCCCAGGACCTGGAGATCGTGACCTGAGCCAAAGGCAGACGCTTAACCATCTGAGCCACCCAGGCGCCCCCCATTATTTTATCCTTTATCAACCTTTGCCTGATGACTTTAAGTTCTATCAGTGACTTTTGCCTGGATCACTGTGATTATTGCCAAAGAGTGCTTTTTATTTTTTTAATTGTTTTTTTAAAGTAAGCTCTACACCCAGTGTGGGACTTGAACTCACAACCCTGAGATCGAGTCACCTGCTTTACCAACTGAGCCAGCCAGGCGCCCCCCACCCCACCAAATAGTGCTTTTTAAAATTTCTATTGTTCATTTCACATTTATTAGTTGGTGTTCTATAAGGGAGAAGCTTCTCTTTTGTTTTTTATTTATTTATATCAGTATGGACTCGATTTCTCTTTTCTTCAGTGGTGGTGCTCTGCTGCTGTCATTTTGTTGGCCAGAGAGCCACGTCTAGCTGGCTCTTGAGTTTTTCTGACATGTCCCTGTCATCCTGTCATTCTTTGCTCCCTTCCTTGCCTAGCCATTTCTCCAAGGAGCTTTGTTTCTTTTTAGTGGAGGATGGTATTTAGAAATCAAGATTTGAGTGACACCTGGGTGGCTCAGTCAGTTAAGCGTCGTCTTCAGCTCAGGTCATGATCCCAGGGTTCTGGGATTGAGTCTCACATTGGGCTCCGTCCTCATCAGAGAGCCTGCTTCTCCCTCTGCCTTCCGCTCCCCCTGCTTGTACACGCACTCACTCACGCTCTCTCTCTCTGACAAATAGATGATCTTTAAAAAAAAAAATCAAGATTTGAGTGTGTGGTGTGCTTATTGCTGGTAAGGTTCATTGCTTCTAGGCCTCAGTGGACATGGGTCAGGAAATGTATGTGTATTTGCTTACATATAAAGACACATCTATAATTGTCTTTACTTGTAAATATATTTTTTAGGAAAACAGTCATATCTTTACCTTCAGTTCCAATCCAACACCTCAGGATTTTTGGAATCTTCTCTTTGTGTTTATAAATAACTTCTCCAGCAATAAAAACCCAAGTTTCATTATTCTATTTTCTTATTTTTCAGTCTATGTATTTATTTGCTTAATGTAACAAACCACTCTGGCCATCATCTCCACCTCCACACCTGCTTTGTGCTTACCCCCTCAGCACTCCACATCCTTGAGCAATTGTAGGCACTGCTTCCACAAACTCCCTCCACCTTCGGATTGGTCAAAATCCAGTCAAAGTGCCAGTCAAAGCCTTCAATTTTATTCCAGAAGGATTCTTTATTTTTTTTTTTTAAGATTTATTTATTTGAGAGAGCGAGAATGAGAGAGAGAGAGTACATGAGAGGGGGGAGGGTCAGAGGGAGAAGCAGGCTCCTTGCTGAGCAGGGAGTTTGATGTGGGACTCGATCCCGGGACTCCGGGATCATGACCTGAGCCGAAGGCAGTCGCTTAACCAACTGAGCCACCCAGGCGCCCCAGAAGGATTCTTTAAAAGAAGATAATTTACTAAGGAAGCATAAGTACAAATACAAGCCTTTAAAATCATTGTCATTATTTGTGGGTCAAAAATCACATATGTGTTGTTATCTTTTTAATAATCTTAGTACAGAACTTTAATTTCTCAGGTCTTCCAGTAAATACAAATACCCACTACTTCAATGCTATAGACACTCAGATTTCCA